TTGGACGTGTTGCTTATCAGCTCGAGTTGCCTCCCCAGCTCAGTCGTATTCATGATGTTTTTCATGTATCTATGTTGAGGCGATACCGTCCAGATCCAGATCACATCATTCAAGTTGATGAGGTAAAGCTGAGACCTGATTTGTCATATGAGGAGGAGCCTGTTCATGTTTTAGAGAGGGATGAACGAGTTATCCGGAATAGGCGTATTCCAATGGTCAAAGTTCAGTGGAGTAATCGTAGTCCCTCAGAAGCTACTTGGGAAACATTGGAGTCAATGGAGACTCAATTTCCTCATCTATTTTCATAAGGTAAATTTCGAGGACAAATTTCTTGTAGAGGGGGAGAATTCTAACAACTCGAAAATTTAAAAAAATATATAATTGTAATTTGATGTTTTAATTAAGTAAATTTGTGAAATTTGGGGACTAAATTGAAAGATTTTAAAAATTTGTAGCTTGTTTTAGAGTTAAAGAAAATTTAGAGACCAAGCCCTAAATTTACCCTAGAATGGTTAGTGAGTTTGGTATTATATACGTGCAATTGCCTTCCCTAACACCATCTTCCAACCACGATCCCGACGTCGTCCGAATTTCGATCGTCGTTTTGAAACCACCATCGTGTTCATCATCGAGCGAGGAATAAACCCCTTAAATTAATTGAAGGAAAACATTGCCAAACGCCGGGAATTTCAAGTCAAAGTCTCGACATTTTTTTAGCACAATCGTCGAGAAAATATTAAATTCACCGTCGATCGTTGATCCGTTTACGACACCTCCTGCACCATTGTGTTCCTTGTGCCGTTCCGAGTCCGCCGGTGTCATCCTTGGTCTCCGGCGACGGCGGCGTGGGGAGGTGAGACGGTCAAAGTTTCCGATTTGTTGAAATCGAGCTCTCCGCCGTTCAAAAATTTGAACCGATCTTTGTAAGTATCTCGAAATCGCTCAAAATAATTTTTAGAAATTTTTCCGTGAATTTACGCTGCCGAAAAACGTCCCACGCACCCCCACGCGCTGCCACTGCGCGTGGGGAATGTCAAAATGACCGGTTTGACAGTTTTAACCGGTTACAACCCGACCCGACCCGTTGACCCGACCCGTTAACCGTTGATCGGGTGCTATTTTAGTAATTAATTCGAAATATGTGCTATTTTAGTAATTAATTTGAAATGAGTGATATTTTAGTAATTATTTTTAAAAGGGTGTTATTTCTGTAAAATGGTTGAAATTTTGTTGATCTCCTTTGACCAAAACTTTGACCGGCTTTGACCACTAAATTCGAACCCGAAAGTCTCCAAATTGTCAGTCAAACCCGTTGACTTTGATTTTGACCAAGAATTCAAAATTTCGGAAGGTCATACTTTATGTTTTTCGACGTCCTGAATTTGATTCCGAAGTCCGTTTTGCCAAATTCTAACCCGAAATCCCCGAATCGAGCATGTGAACCCAAAAGGCTTAGTATTTTAATATTTGATTTTTTTTTGAGTTTTGGTTAAGGAATTGATTCAATAAAATATTTTATGAAGGTACTCGTGTTTCACCTGAGCGTGGATCAGTTAGGTCTGGAGTTGTTCGTTCGTCAGATCAACCTGAATCGCGTACTACAAGAATTACCCGTAGGTTTCTGTATATTATTTAAATAAAGATTATTTATATTAGGATTCCAATATGGATTTTTCAATTCGTAGGATCTAGCGCCGCCGCAGAGCGTGATCGACAAACCCAATAATAGGCTTCCCTATCTGATTTCTCAGACTGTTACAGGTGTGTTTCATGACAGTGTTATTTTATTGTTTTAAAAATATTATTTGAATTGTTTTAGATTGGTGATAATTCATAATACTCTTATGACATGATACATGATACTTGATTCCTGAATATTGATTTCCTGATATCTGATTTCTGTATTTCGGTATATGTTTTTTTAAGCATGAATTATTCACCAAATTTACTTGAATACATACTTGTTTATTACTGACATTGGGGAAAATATTGTTGGAGGAAGAATACTTGCAGGCTCCTCGGCTTTGTGCTTAGGGCCTTACTGGACGTGACGGGGTGTATGGTTATGGGGAACCTACACATTTTCTTCGTGACGGATGGGGGTAGTGTTCATATTTTAAATAAAACAAACATGTTTGATGAAATGATTTTACTGAAATATTTTATTAGTATGTTTTTATACACTGTTTGAAGCACACTGGGCTTTTTAGCTCATTCTATAGTTTTTACCTTTTTCAGATAGCAGCAGACCGTAAGCTAGCAGATTTGGCATCAGGGGGATCAACTACTTAATTTGTACGAACGTATATATCTATATATTTTTCAGTTGTGTTTGGTGACATGTATTTGCTATCGTTTTGGATATATCTGTATTATTTATATTTTGTTATGCATTATATATAATGTATTATAAGTTGTTTAAAAAAAATCTCTGATTGAGATAGGTGACCACTTAGGTTTGGGTCTAACTTACAGACCGGGTCTGAGGGGTTACAAAAACTATAGAAACTAATATTGTAATTTAAAAGGTGTATTACTTAATTTTTTTATCTCTATACCTAATGATTCTACTTATACACTATTGTTAAATTACATTAGGTTAATATTTATTATTAAGGTTTATTAATTAAGATTAGATATTTTTATACGTTAATATATTTAAATACTTATTTTTTAATTATGAGTTCACAAAAATTATTTAACACAAATTAAAAATATTTCATTGACATATAAATGTATTATTTATTGATTATGATTAATTAGATATATAATTTAAGTTGAATCTAATATAAAAATATGAAGAAAAAATATTGCTTGATGTGAGATTTATATAATTTAAGATGAGAGGAAAATAAAAATTCATCTATGGTTTGATCCTACACAAGACTATCATAACTGTGCAATCATGTTGACCCATACTGAGATTATGTAAGTGTGATCTAACTTATTTGTAATTTTAGAAGCAAACTTGATATTTCTAAAATAGATGGATTGACAATAGTATCTAATACATATAAAAAATATCTAATCTTAATTAATATAAACATTAATAATAAATATTAACCTAATTTAATTTAACAATAGTGTATAAGTAGATTCATTAGATATAGAGATAAAAAATTAAAGAATATACCTTTTAACTTTTATACCACATTGTCAAGAAACATAACCTAAACACTTCAATATGTCTATATAAACCAACCCCATTAAGCTCTTCAAATCATGTAATTAATATGTATTAAATTATGATGTTAATCTCTATAATTTTAATTTTTAATTTTTTGAAGCATATTTTTTTAAAAATACTTTTAGGAAATTTGACATGGCAAGAAAACACTGGAAGAAATGTTCCTTGAAACGCGGATTTTCATGTGATGACATGTCAACATTTCTCCTGAAAGGCACGCTTCAGGAAACGCGTCTTTGTCCACCTAAGTAAAGGCACATTTCACATAATGCACCTTATTATAAAGGGTTCTGGATCGATGAAATTTGGAAAAATGGTATTTGACAAAAAATATTATAATATTTGAGTGATTTTTGGGTAAAAATGTCTAAATTTTTTAAAATTTAATTTTTTTACTTATTTTATCTAAAACCATCATTCTCAACATTTTTTACCGTCAATGTAAATATCAATAAATTATTATCATTGTTCTATATTATTTTATCAATCTATTTTTTTAAATCTTTTAAAACTCACAAAATTAAATGAAAAATCATTTTTAAGGGCTAAGAGAATGTAAGGATTTAGAGTGTCTGTTTGAAAATCTGAATGATGATAAACATTCTTTTGAGAAGACGAATAATATATCTCAAAATTAACTTCATTACTCAACTGTTAGAATAGATTAAACATTTAGATGAATTTTTATAGATTTTGAGAAAGTTTTGTAAAAACAATCTATTCTAAAAAGAAATATGAAGAAAATATAAATATTTTGATATTAATATTGTCGTGAATAATGATTAGTGATGAACAACGATTGATCGACAATGATAATCCGAGAAATTAACGATTTTCTACCATAAAAATGAGAAAAATGACCTTTTCATCGCACTATTAAGGATTTAATGTCTCGTTGTCCTATAATTAAACCTAAAATGAAATTTTAAAGCTTACATTGAAGTGTTTTAAAATCAAATATTAAAATCAATATAAAACTTAAATTTTAGTGACTAACAGGAGTAATTTACCCTAGATTATTTGGATCAAGATAATTGGATCTCATGTTGACGGTGTTTTACTGTTGATGGTTATATATATATTTTTTAAAATCCAGATGCTTCTAAATTGAAATTTTGTTCTCAAATGGGAAAATTACGTATTTTGTCCCCGCTAATTGAGTAGGAAAAAGTAGTTGTACTCAATAATGTTATTCGAATTCAGAAAGAAATTTAATTTCAGATATATGTTTAGATATGTAAGTCGTCAAATAAGTTATATATAATATATAAATACGTTAATATTTTTTTATATAATTTTTTTAGCTATTTTAGCTGATCCTATTCCCATATGTAATGGGGTAAGGGGAGGTATGATAGTAGGCTGCCCCAACGCCAGGTTGAGAGCAGTTTCCGTGAGAGACCTCCAGCATTATGAATTGCCTACCGTGGGACTCGATCCCACGACCACAAGGTTAAAAGCCTTGTGCTCTACCAACTGAGCTGGACGAGCAATTCATAAAATGTTTTTTTATAATTATTTATTAAATTTCTTTATCACTGGATTTAATTAACAATTTTTTTGGATAAAAATAGAAACAATTACTAGTTTAACCATTAATATGTAAGGAAGTAGCAAAAATTAATAGTTTAATTTCAAATGGTTTGGTTTTCTTAAAATATAAGAACTAAATTATAAGACATTAAAAGAAAAGAACCAAATTTCTAATTAGACCATTTCAAATCTGATTTTCTAGGATTATTGGAGGAGAAGAGCACCGCAACGTACTGTATATAAAATAGGGTCCTATAAAGCTATGAAATTAATTAAGAGCAGGAATATAAACACAGCTGAGCGTTGAATCTACGTTTTCTTGGCTCTTGATTTTGATTATTTTTTTAGAAGAATTTGAAGTATTTGAACACCTTGGGAAAGCAAAAGAGGAGCTATTTGCATCGATAGTTTGCTTATCCAATAATTTGAACATTCCCATTCTCAAGCTCACTGTAAGTAATCAGAAACTCATTTTCACTTAGATACTTTCTTTGGGGTTTTAGCTGATTCTCAGGCAATTGAACTTTGAAACTGGGTTTCCAATTACTGCTTGAAAATATGATCAATTTTTTTTACTTCCCAGAGCTAAATTTTGTACTTACTCATGTTGGTTAACCAGTTTTGGAAATTTTCATTGGTAATGAAGATCAAAAACTAGGTTTGTAATCAATTTTAAATCATGTTGATTGAAGAAATGATGTTGAGGTTGAACTTTTGAACTCTAGTTGTATTTGCAGTTTGGGAATGAATAGTTGAAAAAATAGCAAGACAAATTTGAATTTCGAATTACAGCTTGAAAATTTGATCAAAATAATTGCACTCGATTGTTCGTTGACTTGCGTTGGCTTAGTTATTTTGGAATTTTAGATTCGTAATAGAGATTTAGTTGTATGTTTTTAATCATTATTAAAGCTATTAATTGGAGAAATGATGTTGAGATTGTCCTTTTGAACCCTAATTGTATTGCTGTTTATGTTTTTGCAGTTTGGGGATGAGTATTTGATAAAATGTCAAGACAAAGTAATACCCTTTTTCTTGAACAATGGTTGAGAACTAATGTTGGTGGCATTAACCAAACTGGCTCCAGACATTCTTCGTTGTCGCCTTCTTCATCTGCCCGTTTCATCATTCAAGCCTGGTCTGAGCTCAGAGATTAACTTCAGAACCAAACATTTCATCCCCATATCCTCCAATCATTGAAAGCTCTCCTTAACTCGCAAGCTTCGCTCCATGTTGCCGATCCTCAAGCCAAGCTTCTTCTATCTGTACTTTCATCCCGAAGTTTTGATCTTCCTTCTGAATTGTACCCTATCTTGCTCGGGCTTCTTTATATTTGGGTCAGGAAGTCTGTCCGGCCATCTTGTGCGCTCATTGATTCAGCTGTGGGTGTCATTTCTAGTATATTTGCTACTGAATATGGTTCAAAAAAAGCCCTTCTTTTCTTGCTGAAGGTATTCTTGTTTTAGGGGCCATTTCATTTATACCTTCTGTGTCTGAAAATTCAAAAATAGCGTGTTTGGAGTTGCTTTGTAGGCTGTTGGAAGAAGATTTCCAGTTGGTTAGATTAGGAGAAGAAATTATCCTGGATGTGCTGGCTGGGCTCGGATATGCATTATATTCTTCTGTGGATGTGCTTCTTGTTAGAGTATTGGATTATTTGTTGGGAATTTGGGGAAAAGAAGATGGGCCTCGTAGTACTTTTCCTACTGCTCTAATGATCTTGCATTTGGTTGAATGGGTTGTTTCTGGTTACATAAAATCACGTTCCCTTAACAAAATTGAAGCCTTTTCACAGGGACTTTGGGGACTTCGGAGGTGAGCTATGTTCCATTTGCTCTCGTTATGGTTGCGGCTGGAGTATTGAGAGCTAGTAGAAATACAGCCAACGGCCAAGGGCTAGAGTTTGTTTCCGTACTATGGATTTCTGCAGAAAGTCGGATAGTCTTTGTAGCACAACAGTTTATTTCTAAAACTAAAGATCTATAAACTCAGATGATGATCCTGCAAATAGTCTTCTTCGACAATATTTATCATTAGCCTTGGCTCGAAGTGGTGCAGTGTCATTCTCTGCCCCTGTGCTTCTGTGCCTTGCATCAGCATTGTTAAGGGAAATCTTTCCCCTAAGGCAATTATATATGCAGATTCTTCAGTTTATCCATAGTAGTGGGTCTGAATTTGGGATCAACAAGATTAAAAGACATCTAGACGGCATTCTTTTTAAGGAAGCAGGCGTCATAACTGGTGTTTTCTGCAACCAGTATGTCTCTGCAGATGAGGAGAGCAAAACTTTCGTGGAGAGTCTTATATGGGACTACTGTCGGGATGTTTACTTTGGTCACTGACAGGTTGCTCTGTTGCTTAATGAAATAAACAATGCCTACTAGTTAATTTGGAGAAAATTGCGGAATCTGCTTTTCTTATGGTTGCGGTTTTTGCTTTGGCCGTAACAAAGCAGAGATTAAATTCAAACTTCTCTCAAGAGGCGCAGAGGGGCCATTCAGTCCAGATATTAGTTTCTTTCTCTTGCTTAGAATATTTCTGACGTATACGTTTTCCGGAATACATGGATACAATTTGAAGAGCTGTTGCATGTGTTCAGGAAAACGAGTCTGCCTGCATCTCTTTTGTGGAATCCATGCCCACCTACGTTGACTCGACACTTGGCAAGGTATTTTCTTTTTGTTCATGAGAAGCCAATGTTTAAGTACCATTTCAATAGAGGGTTATGCTACTAAGTTCAAGTAATTCTGCAACAGTTTAAAGTTCTCAGATGTTTTTCACGTTGTTGTGCTACAAACTGTTAGTTTTACATCGATTTGAATTTCATCTTGTAGACTTTTCCTCCAAGCAGAAAATGGAGTATGAATGGTCCAAGGATGAGGTACAAACCGCTCGTGTTTTGTTTTATGCGAGTTATTCCTACTTGCATTGAACTGGTGCCTGCTCTCGTGTTTAGGAGGGTGGTCGTTCCATCTATGTTTCTGTATCCTAAAATACATGAGTACTTTTACAAGCTTAGGATTCGTATTGAACTGTATAAACTTTGGTTCCTGATAACAATGGTGAATAGATACATGGAACATCCGAACGAAAAAGTAGCTCGAGCCTCACATTTGATGTTTGTAGCATTCATGGCTTCAGGAAAAGAACCTGATGATCAACTAGTGTCGCTGAAGGAGCAACTTGTTTTTTATTACATGCAAAGATCTCTAGGGGTACATAAAACTTATTGAAACCGACAGTAAAAATACCGAAACATGGTATCAAACTTGTGGGGCTAAACTATTCTTCTTCATTGTTATAAATATAGGGATATCCTGGCATTACTCCTTTCGAGGGCATGGATTCCGGAGTTGCAGCCTTGGTTCGACATCTTCCCGCTGGTAGCCCGACAACATATTATTGCATTCACTGTCTTGTTGATAAAGCTAATAACATCTTAGGTGATTTGACCACTTTAAAGTACGATGACTGGAAAAACTGGCAAGGAGGGCCGGAACCTTGTAAAAAAAATCCTCGAGCTGCTTTTGCGACTTACTTCCCTTGTCGATATACAGGTTAATACTTTTTTCACAGTTCTTTTTGTCTAATTAAAATCTGTATTGTCCTACTCTATTTTTCTTTAAGAAATTGTGTCCGCCATCTACGGCGACATATGTAAAAAGAAATGATCTTCCAACACGGGTACTGGGATATGATACACCAAGCACCTTCCAAATGCATGAAATAACTTGGAAAAAGTTGAACATACCCCATGTAGCATGCATGCTCGTATGCCTGATACACCTATATATATATATATATATATAAGCTTGGAAAGCTTAACATATTTGTGTCTGAAACATACCTTTATATCTAACAATTACAACTGAGCCTCTGGGCATTGACATGCTAAATGGTATTAAATTTTACTCATTTGTGTAGGTATTACCAGCTGTAATGAAGTTGGCACAGCTTATTATCCAACTACCAAAAACAGGTCAGATCATGGTTCTTAACGAGTTATATGCTAAAATTGCTGAATCGGATGACGTCACTCGCAAGCCGGCTTTTGTTTCATGGTTGCAGTCATTGTCTTACCTTAGTTCTCAAGCGAAAACCCAGGTTTTGACCTCCAGAGGGGGGGGAAAGCAAACAAAACTTTGCTTCTCCGGGGACTATAGAACCTAATGCACGGCTGTGAGACATTCAGATGCTGTTCTTTTGATCAATGGCGTGGCTAATTCTCCGATAGATGGCCCGGAACATGCATAGGGTTGCCGAATCCGATGGTTCCATGTCGTACCATGGTAGTGAAAACTGGAAATGGGGATCTGAACTGCAAATGGAGAAGAAATTAAAACAATTCTGTGTAGAATTGAAACACTCGGTTGATAAAATTTGGGTTTGGTCTGAACCTGGTCTTATTATTAATGAATTTCCTCTCGGCTGATACTTGAGTCGGTACAAACTACAGATAAAAAGTTTTATTTAGGTTTGGCTAACCATGTAAAATTATTACTCTAATCTATTCATAGGATGATAAAATTTAAGGTAAACCACTTATTTAGTCTGTCATCTATTATTTTATTAGTTGTTTGATCATCTAATTATTTTTTCAAATTATATTTAAAATTACATTTTATTTCTGTTTTGATTCCTCTTAAATTTCTCAAGGTAAATTATTGTTTAATACTTCAATTATCATTTTTGTTTTGTTTCAATTATCCAATTATTATATTTTTCAAAATAAGCTTAACGTTTCTTTTTGGTTCTATTATTAAAAAATTAATAAAATTGTTGACGTGGCATTAAAAAAATCCAATGATAAAGTAGCATCACCTACTTTATTGTGAGACACAAACATCATTATTAATTTATTTTTTTATAGTGAGTGACCAAAATGTAATATTAAAATTTTGAAACAAAAAGACCGTAAACATATAATTTACCTAGATTGATGCTAAATACGATATATTTTAATATATATTTAAATTATTACGTCATTTTCTCTATAATCAATATCACAGTGATAATTTTTTAAAGATTTCTTCTATCAATGAAACGATGACATATATCACCGTTTTAACGGGGAAAATCAAACTAAAATTACAAGAATGTAGCTCATGAGAATCGAACCCTGCCTCCTTGGAGGTAAGATTCCAGGAGCGGTTATAATAATGGTTTAACTCTACCAGAATTATTATTTTACCCTTACATGAATAATCATTAGAAGAAAAGAAATATAAAAATGTGTTATGCGAAACACCCATAAAAAATATAAAAAGCACACAAAATAGATGCATGAATTATCATATTCAGCTGCACCTCACGATCAATTTAACTAGTTTGCAGAAGTGAAATATAAAAGCCAGCTTTTGTTACACATAGCTATTAGCTTCTGTGCCGTTCATCTCTTTATCATATCGAACTCTTCATTTTTCTTGAAGTATCTGTACTTAACGCATGTATTCGGATTACATACGGACATGATCGATCAAATACATGGGTAAAAAAAGAAAAACGAAAAGATTGAACATACTGTATCAGACTTGTCGAACACGGGTCCTTAGAGAAAACAAAAAGAGTTTGGGTAACATAGGTTTGAGAAACTATCTGCAAACCACAATTTACTGATGCCAAAGCTCTTGAGAATCAATTACCCGGAACAAGGTAAGTAATGGAAAAGTAATAACTTCCCACGATTGCGAACGATGCAATCCCGCTACGACCCATCCGTAACCAAATGCCATGGAACAAGAGATTTCTGTCTGCAGGGTGGATACCGGTGAGTTTCTCGAATCTTTTCCCCGGTGTTTTCCACTTAAGAAGCTTTCTTTCCATTGAAATGAACTGCATGGAAATAAGCGGCTAAATGAAGGCAATTGGCATAAGGCATACTAACTGATTACCTCAAAAGCTGATGGCAAAGTTAAATTGGACGAGCAAAGTCGATATGCTAAGGTCATGAAAGACAGTGGCGCCAAAGAGAAGAAATACCTTGGGCAACACTGTACATTGTGATCGACTTTTGGCTGTATCAAAACCGTGAGATGCGGCGGCAGCAACAGAACCTGAAAACCCTGCCGCAAGACTAACAGCTAAAGGGGATAGTGGACCGATTTCTTCATCATACCTGAGGGAAGAAAACAAAAGGATTTCAAATTTTAGCCACATGAACTAGTATCTAAAATTAAAATCCTACTAAGTTCAGGCATTGATCGCATATAATTTCACATAATTCCATGTAATGGAATTCATCTAAATTTTTTATTTCATGTGTGCCTTATACAACCATGGCAAAGTTGAACGGTCAAACATACAGCCAAACTTGTGAGACTTCAAACAAGGAAAACTGTCACAGTATCTTCTGATTGTATTAATTATCATAGAAACCAGAGATAGTCTTCAAACTTAACAACATATATTACACGGGGAATATAGGACTGGCTCCCACTAAAAGGTTACAAAATGCTAAACCTTAGATGGCCTAAAAACATTATGTTTAAATACTCTTTGTTTTAAAAGTATAAAAAAATTGTATCTTTACCTATTGGGACTGCCTGTCCAATATGACTAGAAGTTTGAGTAGCATAGGTTAGAACAATGACTAGAATTTGCATATAATAAACTAGACAATTTGCATGCATGTATAATCAACTAAAGAATTCAATGACTAAAAAACATTATGCTAAACCCATGTCAGACGCATGCCAGTATCCAAAACTCAAACTCGAGCTTGAGTAGCATAAGTTAGAACAATGACTAGAAGTTGCACATAATAAACCTAAACAATTTGCATGCATATATAATCAACTAAAAACTTTCAATATGTAAACTCTATGCACCAAATGAAAAGTACAAGGCTAAAAAAAGCACCTGGGTGGCGGATCCATCCCAGCCGCCTTCCAATTAAGCATAATTTGGTGCAAACATTCCCAAGTAGAGAAGAATATGCCACCAAATACAGAGTCTCGAGCAACTCCTGAACGAAGGCCTCTCCACAATGCACCCCCTCCTTCCAAAGAAATTATTTCAGATGGTCTCCGGACATCGTAAACCGATGGTGGCCTCCCAGACCCACTCATCATCCAAGGGTACTCTTGTAAGGCACCAACTATATTAGGGTGCTTCTTGTTTAAGATGGACAGCATACCTACAGCATTGTTCAATGCCTTCATATCTGGAGTATATCCACGTAATAATCTGGAAATTGCTGGCATAACAGCTTTATTCTCTGTTACTGGTGTTGCTCTTGAAATGCGAGAGGCACAGGTAACCTGTGCACGGAGTTTAATAAGTTCAAATGGTGAGCTTGTTAGCGACTCCACGGCCCCAGCTGCCAACCCTGCCATAAGGGCCTCTGAGACATACACAAAATTGTCTTCTCGACCATCTGCGGAACAACCATATCATAACATAATGCAGTAAATTTTGTGGATGTAATGAAAAAAAAACTATTTATAATTATACCCTTATGTTATGCCATTAACATGCGAATCTTCAATTTAAGAGGAGGAAGTTACTGGGAATGGAGATATCACTTATAGTGAACACGTCATTTAAGCTACTACAGATATCAGAATTAGGGGTGAGCAAAATTCGACCCGACTCGAAAAACCAAAATTTTCAACTCGATTCGACTCGAATTGAATTCGAGTTGTAATTTCATAAACGCGACTCGAAAAATTTTCAAATTCAAATCGAGTTGAAAAATGCAACTTGAATAACTCAAAATTTTTTAGTAACTAGTGGATTTATTTTCAAGTTTGAGTCGAGTCCTTGGATTTTGTATGATATATGTATATCATGTATGAAAAAAATATGAAGAAATATATTTGTATTGTATATATGGTTATAGAAACTCACTTAAATTGGAATCAAATAATATTATAAATATTTACAATTAAATTTAAACATAAACTCGAAAATTGATTCGACTCGAATTTTATAAACTCGACTAGAAAAAATTTCAAATCAAGTCCGAGTTGTAAAATAGGACTCGTCAACTCGAATAAATTGAAATTTTTTGACTCGACTTCGACTTGATCCGATCGAACGCTCACCCCTAATCAGAATATGAGATCGCAAGATTATAACCATCGGGTGTCTTATATACTCCACTCTAAAATCCTTGTCCCCTTTGACTCACATTAAAATCTTAATTTATTATAAAATTGATGTATCAAAGGTTTTAATGTCAAAAGATAAAAACAATCACAAATTTGAAACTTTAAAGAAAAGAATGTATTAGGCTTTTAGAAAAAAAGGAAAGAAGGCTTATTTTTGAGACATCAAGAAAAAATGGAAAGATGGATAAATAAAATGAATAAGAATCACAGATTTTTAATTCTTGTTATAATACAAATAATGAATTGAATCCCCTTTTCAAGTACAATAAAGAGACGATGACATTGAAAAATCAGTTTATGCAACCGCTTCACTAGACATTGTATTTACACATAACAAGCACATTGGACACCAGAAAAAAAGGGGGGGGGGCGAAGTAAAAATATCCATGCCAGGTATAGAGCGGAAAAACTCCAGTTCGATTTTGGAAAAACTCAAACGAAAAACACTAACCCAAAAAGAATTGAGATAAGTGTCACTCTGAAGATAATACTAAAGGCAAAACAATAACTCCTACAAAGCCCCCTAGGTTGTTTAATTGGCATTGTATTATCATGAACCAAATTCAGATGGAATAACTTTGAGACTCAGTATTAATGAAATAACGGACTGATGCTCGACAATAATCAATAATCACTCCTAAGTTGTCTCTTTTTTACTGGCATAAATATGACAATACGGCTTTCATGTTTTTTAAGAACACAAATAGAGGGAGAAAATATAGCATGTTTCATCAAGAATACAACATTCAGGGTAAAGTGCCTTCTAAAATAATATTAAGTACATGGCAAAAATACCTTTATAGAAAGCTGTCAAAACTTCATATGTTCCAAAGCGAGCTGCCATACCAAAAATTCTCCCCCAGGCCAACCACTCAAAGCCACTATACAAACCTATATTTTTCAAAACGAAGAAAAAATCAAATTCAGCCTATAAGTTAGAATATTTACCATGACAAAATTCCCCATAAAAAAATTAACGCTAAAATGAGAAAGCAAGGAAGGACCAAATGAAGAGAAATGGGGATAGAGGAACTGGAAATTTTAGTTTGTATAGTTGAATATTCAAAACTCTGAAAGGCATCAACCAAAAACAAAATAATCGTCCATCCTTCCAATTTGGACTGTCCCAAGACTCCATCCACTCCTTTTTCAATACTTAAACTCTTACTACTTTTCTATTTGATATTTTTTTCCAGAAAAAAGCATAAAAAAGGGAGAAGAAGAAAAGAAATGAAAGAGAGCTACAATCAAACGATCTATCTTCTTTCTGCCTATTGAATTACAAATACGGGCTCCTAGACATGCTAGCACAAGGTAACTTTATTGCCTAGTACAAAGGCATCAAAGCAAACGATAGCACAATTCATTTTGCTTCTTTCAAAGCCATCAAAGCAAACAATTTCTGAACATTCAATTCTAATGTTTTAACCATAACTAGCTTAGATTCCTTGTGCCCGTGCTTCACAAGTTACAGCTACACCATTCAGCCATCTCAACTTTGTCTTCATTGTACTCAACCATTAGTTTGAATATCAAGGAGAAAAAAGCATTGCATGCAATGAAACAAAATCCATTTTTCCGACGCTATACATTCTCCTCTGTAAATTTTCTTCCATAAAAAAGAACAGATAAATACCATTGTGCATCAGCTTTTCCTCTCCTTCTACCTTCCCCCCTCCATTTACTCTCATGGCATAAAAAACTTAGTCAAACATGACCTATTGACAAATATAATTACAGGAAAATGATTCAAGATCTTATTTCAAAACAGCAAAGAGAATTTATTCATTTCCCTTACCTTTCATTTCTAATTCTTATTGTACTCAAATGCAACGAGGGAAGGCGTTTTCAAATTTCCAGGGGCAGAGGGAGAGAGAAAATACGAGTGTCGTTTATACAGCCCTCACTACCGTCATCCATCGTTAGCCTTTCACCGTCTGTCGCTTGTCGTCCGCCGTCCTCCGACCACCGTCCACCGCCGCACTCCGACCTCCTTTTGACGCCGTTTTTCTCAAGGATCTTCGTCTACCCACAGCGTTTCCTTATTCCTGGTTCTTTTTGTTAGATTCCTCTTCAATCGGAGCAAATCTACTTGCCTTTCTCCGCCGTTCTTTTCCACCAGCAGTCTTTCGAGTTTCGTTTCAACCGTTCCACTGTGCTCGCCGGAAGCTCGTGACAAAAACCCAAGTACTCTACTGTGAATACCCACTGCCGTTCAACGGAAATCTTCCTGAGAAAAACTTATATTTCCAGATCGCAGTTGCTGGCTCTGGGTTTTCACGTACAGAGGCATATCTTCCCTAGCATTATACTTATCTGGTTTTTTCGTTCAAATCTGCATTCAAAAATGACGTCCAAGAATCGTGTGGCAGTAACAGAGGATCGATCAGAAACCTCAGCTCGTCAGAATAAAAATCGTTGTCAGTCCGAGATAGAGGAAAATGAGCTCGTTAAGCTTTTGAAAAAATCAGATTTTAAGGCGAAACGGGTGGATTTTATACTGTCGAAGGTGACTGAAGCAGAGCAACGAAATCAGAGACATGGGCAGCAGACAAGGACTGTGCAGAAATCAGAGGAGGAGAGGAAGAAGCTGAGTAGTACAGTGGCAACGGATGAATATGAGAGGATGGTGTTGGTGACAAACAAGAATAGGGATGATTCGTTGGTTGAAGCAAGGAGCGTGGAAGAGGCCATTGCGCAGATTTCTGAGGCGGAAATCCTACCACAGGATTCCCATGGTCTTAATCACTGGTGGAAGAAAGATTATCCAAGAATCAACAATGGGTATAGAACTGGCTGCTTTACGTTATACATTGCTAATTTACCAGAGAAGATCCATTGGAAGCGGTTTGGATCGTTATTTTGCCCATACGGTCAGGTTATTGACGCCTTCATTCCAACAAAAAGGAATTAAAAGGGGTTTCGGTTCGATTTCATTCACTTTGCAAAGATTGGAGAAGCCAGGAGAGCGATCTCAAAGATGAATGGCGCTCGCATTGATGGTAGTAAAATTGGAGTCTCTTTTGCCATATACAACCCAAGACATTCTTTTTGGAGAAAGTCTTTGCCTGTGGTTCACCAAAAGCATGAGAGGGAAGATGTTACATGTAACAATCTCCATACAGTAATCAGTGCGGTCGACGAAGCTAAACTTCAAGTTTTGGATAACTGCCTAATGGGGTGGTGCAAGAACTATACCAAAATAGGCGATCTTGCTAGCCAAATGCAAGACAAAGGCCTCAATGGTTTCTCGTTAATGAGAGCTGCTGGGAATGTAGTTCTCATGATATTCGAGGACTCTGCTTTGTTGAGAAGGGTTAAGAATGAACAATCAGAGAATCTTGCAGAGTGGTTTTCCAGAGTTGAACCTTGGTCGGAGAGTCTAGTGGTTCAATGTCGTCGAGTATGGGTTGTTTGCGAAGGGATTCCGTTTCACGCGTGGAATTGGGGTACGTTCAAGAACATTGCGGCTAGGTGGGGCGAACTAATATCAATTGATGAAAGCTCTCAGTTTTCTTCATCTTTTGATCGTGCAAAACTTCAAATCCTCACAGAGTCTAAAGTGAGAATTGATGAGTCGTTGAGTTTGAAGGTCGGCTCTAATTTATATGAAATCATGGTGCATGAAGTTGAGCCTTCTTTCAAACCAACTTCTTGGACCCCTGAGGAAGTCGATGATTCTCCATATCTGACTTGTTCTCTCGGGGATACATCAGAGAATTCTTTATCAGGATCATCAGTGTCATCCTCAGGTTTAAATTGCCCCGTCGAAGATGTTGCAATTGAAGGTACCCAATTAGAAGAGGTTCCACTCATAAAGAGTGTCAAAAGCGATGAGAATTCGAGTATTAAATTGGGGTTACACACAATGGAGGCTGTGGATTCTAATGGAGTTAGCCTCAGGTCCTCGGAAGATGTTCTTATGATGGGTCTCTTTACTTCTCATGGTTCATCTAGTGACGCAATTCAATTAATGGAAGACACCCCAGTGGTACCCCTATCCCTGGGAAATTTAGAACTAATCGTGTGGTGAAGAAACGCAAGAAAAAGAAAAGAGTTTTGAATTAAGTGGCAATGATACTTTGATTGAAGGGAAGGAAGTGTGGTTTTGGTTCATTGAAGACATCTTATCGAGCTGATTTTGAATCATGTTGGTATTTTGTGGAGTTTCCTTCAGAGGCGGATGTTTTTGGTTTAATGGTTTCAGGTGTTGTTTTCTTGTATGTTATATCCTTAACTGTTGGGATGTTTTCCTTTTGATGGAGGTTTTTTTAGGTATAAGTTGGTTGCCTCTAGATTTTTGTGGTCGAGAAGGCGAGAGTTTTAGGTGATTATGTTTCTTGTAAGGGCATTTATCCTCGTTTGAGGGTATTTCGTGGTATCGTATGTAATGGGTGTTTTATTCAATGAAATATGAGGTACTCTTTTCTTCCTTCCAATGTTCGTTAACATACTTCTTAGTATGTGAACGAATACGAAGGGAGTTTTTAATGAGACCTCCAACTTCTATAAAAAAAATGCAACGAGGGCAAGAAGGATCAAGGTCTCCAATAAAACTTTAACATTTCATCACCACCAATTGATGTAAAAACTAAACACAGAAAAGCAAAACCACACAACATTCCGTTCTTTTTGCCTAATAGCATCAAACAAGCAAAACCATTGCTCACCAAATAACATTTTTACTTAAAGGTGGAAGATCAATGTTTTAAGAAAAGAAAGTAAATAAGAGAGAAGCTTAAGAACTTACCTGAATACCCTGACAAAGCTCGAACTCGTTTTATAACCTGAGAGGCATTTATTTGTTTCCCAGAAGCTGAACCAACCTATTCACCTCAAATTTGAAGTATGTTATAAATAAATAGATTTATTTTTTCCTTAAACTAGAAAAGGGTCATGAAAAGGGAAGTGAAAAACCAGATTAATGTGAAATAAAGGGAACCTGGATAAGGGATTTTATGGTATCAAGAGGATAAGTAACAGCAGTGCCAAAGACCACAGAACCTGAAGCAGCAATTGCATGAGTTGCAAATAAATGGTTCTGCAACAATTCATCCATCCCAACCTGGGAATCACAGTGATTTAATATCTATTATTTGATTCAGAACAAGAGAACATATTTCGTGGCAAATGAAAACTACGTGTTCGGTAAAATCATTGACAGAATGGTGAGCTATGGATAATAAAGACTACTCCAGAGAAAAAAGAAGTTAATGCCTCACACCTCGCAAATGCATGTGAACTGTTTGATAAAATGACTGACAGACTGATTGCCTAACGAAAAATAAAATACTAAATCACCAACGAAACGTAATAGAGCCTGTGGAGCTTATTTCGCAATTTCTTAATAATAATTAAGCTGTTCGGTGGCTTTTTTAACAAATAACAGCAAAATTATATACTTGTACACCTGCAAGTCTGAAGGAATATTGGAAGCAAAAGCATTAGCGAGAGGGACCAAGGTGAAAGAATGGAACAAACTCAAATTCCAAATAGAAGAGGAAAAAACAAATGAATCGTAAAGGTCAAACCTCGAACATATATGTACTGAAATGCAAGAATTATCAAAATTTTCCAAGTTGGGATTAAGCAATATGCAGAGGAAGAGAAGAAGAATGTGGCTCTAACTTCTTACGTACGTGAGGGGAGAGAGAATCTTTTGGATGTTTATAGTTCAGCTAAAATGGTGTCGTTTTATGTAGAAATGAAGCAATAAAACTATGGGTAAAATACACTTTAGGTCAATAAATTATATGTTTAGTGACAAATGGCCATTTATATTTCTAAAAGTTACAAACATATCACTCAATTAAATATTATTACAAACAAGTCACCTGTGTTAAAAATGAAATAGAAGTCTAATGTGGCTGATATAGTAATACTTTTAATCCGCAAAATTTATATATCAATTTTATCATAATTCAAAGAATTCAATAAATTTAACTCTTCATAATTAAAAATTCATTCAATTTAATATTTTTTTTATGATAATGTCAAACCAAGTGAGTTTATAGAATTAAATTGTAACAAGTTACTATTACTATATCATACCATTCCATAATTTCGTCTAATATTTAAAGAGCGATAACATGTTTAGAGTAATGTTTAATTGAGTGACTTCTAGTACTCTAAATCCAATCCAAAGTATCTAATAGATTTAATATAGGTTTAAATATACAAAAGGCGTCTAACGTTTATTTCGTTCCAGTTTGGTGCCCAACGTTTTATTCCGTTATTCATTTAGGTGCCCTGATCGTCAACGTATTTAATTTTCCCGTTAAGTGACATGTGTCACAAGGTAATTTTAAAATTTTATTTAAAATTAAAAAAGTATAAAAGAAACATAAATTTTGAAATAAAACCCAAAACTTTGAAAACATTCATTTCAACCCCCGAACCCATGCCGGCTACCGCCTTTCGCCTTCGACGAAGCTCCACCCGACCTCCCCTCCCCTCAACAATCGAAACTCCCATGAAATTGTGATCGATCGATGACGAACAACGTTTTATACCTTGCGAACCTGGGATGAAAATCGCGATCCCACGATATTTTCGACGGTCGATCAACTATCGATCAGTCACGATTTCATGGGGGTTTTGGTCATCAAGGGGAGGGGAGGTCGGGTGGAGCTTCATCGACGGCAAAAGGCGACGGTCGACGTGTGTTTAGGGGTTGAAATGAAAGTTTTTAAAGTTTTGGGTTTATTTAGAGAATATATATATATATATATATATAATTTTAATTTTTTTTAATTTTAAATAAAAAAATTAAAATTACTAGGTTGTGACACATGTCACTTAATGTCCAAGATTAACGGTTCTTCACGGCTTAACCCATTTTGAGTAACAAAATGAAACTTTAGGCACTAAACTAAAAAAGGGGCATAGGTTGGACACCTTTTATATATTTAAGCCTTTAATATACTAAATTAAGTTACTGAAGCAACTATCAAATTTAATTTTTTTTTTTCAAAATCAACACATTAAATTTACTTTTATAAATTATTCATAATGAAATAAACCAGAGCATAAAAATATTAAAAAAATTTATACAAAATAGAAGCTGTAAAATATGATTAAGTATAAATCAAAATAATAATAGAGTTTGCACAATGAAATATTAGTAAAGTTAGTGCCTATAAAACCTCAAAATTTACGAAAAAAATTTAAAGATAAGCAATCAAATCTTGGGGCTTTAAAAGGACTAATTTGAATTTAAGAGTAACTGTTACTTCCTCCTTTAATATATTCATATGATCTCATTCAATTCGATTTAAATTAAGGTAAAAAGGCATCTACAGTGACTTCTTATCAAAGTTTAAACAACTCATTTATCAAAATAAAGGTTAATTAGTGGTTTATTTTAGTTATTAAAAAATAGTCAAATATATATTTTATTCGAAATAGAGACGAGAAATTACCAACATACGTAGTTCCCTTTCACCCGCCTGAGGGACAAATCACTTCACATAATATAACATAAACATCAGCAAAACAAAAGCAACAGACATTGATACAAATAAACACCAACATAGAGTACTTCGGTCTGATTATTCAACAAATATCTTTGGTCTTTCAGCTGCAAACTCCCAGAGGAGGCGAATCAAAAATTAGGTCACATTTACCACTGCAACATATGTAACCACCAGCGCAATAAGAACCTGCTTCATAACAGTTTTCAGCTGGTTTTTCAACCGAGAAAATACCGGCTAAAGGGTTTCGAATGTTGGCGTCGACAATGATAGAGAAGGGCATAACTTCGTTCCGAGCAGCCGTAACAGTAGGAGAAATCATAAGCAATAGCACCACCGCCATTGCAACCAATAACAAAACAAACCTCTTGCATTCCATTTCTTGAAACAATTAACTAATTAATTCTTACAGTATAGAGTATGGATGAATCTAAGTTGTCACCCAATACTCCTTTATATAGTCAAGATGATGAGACTAAATTGATTAAAATGATAAACACAGGACCTATCTAGTACAAATGTAATAAAGTGGACAGAGATACAATAAATCACAACCACATATTTTATAAAGACCCATCTGAAAATTACAACTGTACGTTACATAATTAGCTGAACAATATATTTCTTCTATTACGTAGCTAGCTAAAAAATTAATTATAAAACTAAACATAATTTAGTGAAAAAAAATCAAGTTTGTAAAGTAAAAAGCAGTTCAATGACTTGCTATCATAAAATTAAAATATGAGATTAAATTTAAAATTTTGAAAACATATCTTTAAAATCAATTAGGGGTTTCTTTATTCCTTTTACATATGTTTTCTCTTAATATTTTTGTTTAATTTTTCCTCTTTATTTTACTTAACTGCCGATAACACCAATCTTAATGTTGGTTACCGACCAGTGATAATTATTAATTCTCTTATTTTTCCCATACTATGTCATTTATTTTTTTCCTATTTTTTTTTAATTGCGAATAGGAATCTATGTCCTCATGAAACACTTTTTTTTTGCTCTTATTGTGGCACGATCCTTATAGCATTTAGTATGTTTTTTACATACCTTTGTGGTCGTTTTGGTACTCACACGAAGACTCTCCTAACATTTATTTTCTAACTGAAGTTTCGGTGGTTAAGTATTGTTATCTCCTCTTTCGTGAAAGGTTATTTTATGATATAATCATAATTGTTTTCTCATACTATGTTTGATGTTTCATAGGTCATATTTGGGCTTAACTCAACTTGCTCTATCAATAGAACATGCGATGGGTCGAAACGATATCTCCTGAGCATAGATACATGAAACACATTATGAATGTGTTCTAATTCTAGGGGGTCAGGCTAAATGATAAGCCACGGGTCCAACCTTCTCAAGCACCTCATATGGAACAATAAAATGCAGAGTCAACTTTCCTTTACGCCCAAAACGAAACACTTTCTTCCATGGGGACACTTTAAGGAAAACTTTACCGCCAACTACAAATTTGATATCTTTGCATTTCAAGTCCGCATAAGACCTCTATCTATACGATGCTTCCCTTAACTGACTTTGAATTACTTTAACTTTTCTTCAGTTTCTCTAATCAGTTCCGGAGCCACTAACTTCGCTTCACTAAGCTCAGTCTAACAAAGAGGAGTCCTATACTTACGCCCATACAACACCTCATATGGGGCCATTTGTATGTCAGTTTAGTAGTTATTATTGTATGTGAACTCCACTAGTGACAAGTGATGTTTCCAACTATGCTTGAAATCCAAAATAACACATTTGAGCATATCCTTGAGAACCTGAATGAATCGCTCAGACTGATCATCGGTCTGAGAATAAAACATCGTGTTGTAATGGAGTTTGATGCCTAGGGATTCATGGAGAACCTTCTAAAACCGGGAGGTGAATCAAGGATCACTATCTAAAATGATCGAAATCGAAACTCCATGCAATCTGACTATCTCACAGATATAAAGCTGCACTAACCTCTCTAAAGTAAAATTTATCCTGGATGGTAAGAAATTGACCATCTTGGTTAACAGATCTACTATCACCCATACTGCATTGTGCTTGAACTTCGTCATTGATAACCTAGTCACAAAATCCATAGTTATATTGTCCTACTTCCACTGTGGTATCTGGATTGGATGGAGTAAACCTGAAGGAACCTGATGTTCCGCCTTAACTTGCTAACACACTAGACACTTCTCTCTTCATGCTTGGCCAATAATACAGGGGGAGGAGCTCTTGATACATTTTATTATTGCCTGGATGAACTGAAAGTAGACTAAAATGGGGCTCGTAAAGAATTTTACTACGTAATTGTTCTTCTTTGGGTACACACAAATGCCCCCTAAAGAACAACACATCCCCATCACGCAACTCAAAGCCTAAAGCCTCACCTCAGTGGACTTTCTCCATGCGAGCCCTCAAACGATTGTCCGATCTCTGCAATCTCTTAACTTCATTCACTAGATCAAGCTCTATTAGAAGTTCGGCTAATAATCCCCTATCTCTAGATAGACTTAGGCACGCTAACATCACTTGCAGCTCGGATATCGACTTCTGACTTAGTGCATCATCAACCACATGTGCCTTCCCCGGATGATAGTCGATCACACAATCGTAATCCTTTAATAATTCGATCCATCTACGCTGTCTCATATGCAACTCTTTCTTTGTCACAATGTACTTTAAACTCTTGTGATTAGTGTATATGTTACACTTCTCGTCAAACAGATAATGCCTCCAAATCTTGAATGTAAAAACTATAGCTGCTAGATTTAGATCATGGGTGGGATAATTCTGTTCATGAGGTTTAAGCTGGCAGGATGCATAGGCTACTACTTTTCCTTCTTTCATCAGTACGCTCCTAAGGCCATTTAGCGAAAAATCGCTAAACACAATAAACTCATTTCCCAACTCAAGTTGGCTTAAGATAGGGGCTTGAGTTAAAAGGGTTTTTAACTATTCGAACGTACTCTGTTAGTTCTCTCCCCACACAAACGACACTTCTTTATGAAGTAACTTAGTCATTAGGGTTGATATCATCGAAAAACCTTTTACAAATAGATGATAATAGTCATCAAGACCTATGAAATTGCGTACCTCGATTACGCTTTTTGACAGTTCCCACTCAAGCACTG